CTCTCTCTATATATATATATATATATATATATATATATATATATATATATATATATGTGTGTGTGTGTATGTATGTATGTGTGTGTGTGTGTGTATAAAATTATGAAATTAAAGTACATATACAAAAAAGAGCAAAAAATAAGGGGAAAGGGGTGGAAGGAAACAAGTACCCTAAAAGTAGGTCACGACTCACCATGGATGATTGTCTGCCAGCCCCGCCCCGTGACCGGTATGTCCACTCTGTCCTTGCCCTCGTCCAGGATGCTGTACTCTGACTGGTTCCACGCCAGTGGCTCTGGCTGAGCTATCGCACGTGCGATGGCGTCATCATCGATCCCGTAACGAGAACGATTGTTGACTCCACCCTTATCTGTTGGATAAATGTCAAGATAATATTTATTGCTTTAAGTACGGCAATAGAAGCCGTAGCTAGAACTCCACCCTTATCTTTTGGACAAATATCCATATATTTATTGCTTTAAGTACGGTAATAGACGCCGGTAACTCAGTGGTTCTCAACCTTTCTAGTGCAACGATCCTTGAACACAGTTTCTCGTGTTGTGGCGACCCCCAGCCACACAATTATTTTCGTTGCTACTTCATAGCTGTAAGGATATGTGTTTTCAGAATGTCTTAGGCGACCCCTGGAAAAGGGTCCCTCGAACCCCCAAAGGGGTCGCGACCCACAGGTTGTGAATCGCTGCCGTAATTAGAACGAGCGTTGACTGTACCCTTATCTGTTGGACAAATATTAATATATTTATTGGTTTAAGTACGGTAATATACCCCTACCCCCCCCCAACCACCACAAGCCCAAAAATATTTTTTTTTAAAAATACCTGGTAAAACATGCGTCCCTCGTTGCCATTTGAGAATAAAACAAACAGCTGTATAGGCCACAGAATGTACTTCTATAATTTTTCGTTTCGTTTCCTTTCCGAAATAAAAGATTAACTTTCCAGAATGGCTCTCTGTGTTTACAAAACTAAGATTGGGTTTTTTATCACGACTGCTGTACAACGGCGTAGTTAGGGTTAGCGTCCGCAGAGGGCGGACTGCCCCCCAACACCCTCCCTCCGACGTCACTGCTGCTGTTTGTACAAAACTAAGGAACAGGCTGAGCGGGAGGTGTGTAGCTAGGATTTCTCTCTTCTTACTCACTTTTCCTTCCCTTCTCTCTTCATCACCTTTTCCTTCACTCCATTCCTAGCTCCGCTGACAATATTCTTTCCATTACCCTTTACTCCCCCAATCCTTGATCCCTGTCGTCCCACTCCTCTGACCTTCAGTCCCCGCACCTACTCCACCCTCTGACCTTCAGTCCCCGCACCTACTCCACCCTCTGACCTTCAGTCCCCGCACCTACTCCACCCTCTGACCTTCAGTCCCCGCACCTACTCCACCCTCTGACCTTCAGTCCCCGCACCTACTCCACCCTCTGACCTTCAGTCCCCGCACCTACTCCACCCTCTGACCTTCAGTCCCCGCACCTACTCCACCCTCTGACCTTCAGTCCCCGCACCTACTCCACCCTCTGACCTTCAGTCCCCGCACCTACTCCACCCTCTGACCTTCAGTCCCCGCACCTACTCCACCCTCTGACCTTCAGTCCCCGCACCTACTCCACCCTCTGACCTTCAGTCCCCGCACCTACTCCACCCTCTGACCTTCAGTCCCCGCACCTACTCCACCCTCTGACCTTCAGTCCCCGCACCTACTCCACCCTCTGACCTTCAGTCCCCGCACCTACTCCGCCCGTTCTCGCATTCCAAACCCATACCGCATTTCGTTCTCGTGTCCCACCTTGATCTCCTCCTCACCAGCCTCCTCAATTCTTCCCCTCCTCACCAGCCTCCTCAATTCTTCCCCTCCTCACAAGCCACCTCAATTCTTCCCCTCCTCACAAGCCACCTCAATTCTTCCCTTCCTCACAAGCCACCTCAATTCTTCCCCTCCTCACAAGCCACCTCAATTCTTCCCTTCCTCACAAGCCACCTCAATTCTTCCCCTCCTCACAAGCCGCCTCAATTCTTCCCCATCCTCACCAGCCTCCTCAATTCTTCCCTTCCTCACCAGCCTCCTCAATTCTTCCCCCTCCTCACCAGCCTCCTCAATTCTTCCCTCTCCTCACCAGCCTCCTCAATTCTTCCCCCTCCTTACCAGCCTCCTCAATTCTTCCCTTCCTCGCCGATTTACAATCCGTCTCACCCAATGCCACAATGATCCCCAATACATTACAGCCTGGCCCCGTTTGACCCCAAGACTCACCAATTTTTGGCCTACGTCCACGTCCCATGTGTTTACCAAAGTATTTCCGGGTCGTGGCCACCTTGAACTTGGCATGTAATTTCCTGGCAGCCGTCGCATAACCTGCACGTGTTCGGGGATTCCCCGTCGATGCTGTTCGGAGAGTATCTTCAGCCGACGACGCCTTATCATTACCGTCATCGGAATTCTCTTCATCGTCATCGCCATCAGCCAACTTCCCTTCATGTCTAGATGTCCCCTCGTCCTTGAACTGTGCCAGCAGCTGATCTAACTTTCGTCTAGATGTTTCGTTTTTAGTGCCACCCTCCGCTGACGGCTTGTCGGTAACGTCATCACTATCTTGCAGCTTTGAGCTGAGCTCTTTCAGTTTCTCAAAATCTTCATCCCCGGCCGAGCCCCCAATGTTCGTGTCACCGCTCGGCCCGTTTGCCGATTTGCCTCTAGATCGCGTCGTCTTTTGCACGATCGGTGGAGGTCTCAGACTCAACAAATCCTCGTTTTGTCCCGGCTTCCCGCCCGACGCCCGACTTCCGTCACCCATCCCACTTCTCAGTCGGACGCGGTCGTTTGCCTTTACCAAACTTTCATCGCCATAGATAACCTTCTTCTCATCGCTCTCGTTCTCCTCCTCTGTAACGTCCTCCTCGTCGCCAGCGACGTTGCCACCGTGGGATTTCAAATAATTTAAATCTTTTTCAAGATCCGCCTCTGAAATGTCGTCCACCGGGATGTGAAGCTTTTCCTTGACCTTGGGTCCCCGCCGTGACATAATACCCCTTTTAAAAGTCACGCTACATTCAAACTTAACGAGCCCAAGTTTATTTTGTCATCCTAGCGTTTCTATACCAAGTTTATTTTCGATATAGCTAAACGGCGTCTCACCTCATCAAAGAGCAAAAATTTTGAGCTAAAAGAATAATTTTTTTTTAAAGTCATTTTTAACGCAAGTCTCGACAAAATAACAGATTTTAAAGTCAGTTGGTATCTGTCGGGCATTAAGCACACATAAATAACAGATTTTAAAGTCAGTTGGTATCTGTCGGGCATTAAGCACACATAAATAACAGATTTTAAATTCAGTTGGTATCTGTCGGGCATTAAGCACACATAAATAACAGATCAACTGCATTTGATTTCCTATTTAAAAAAATTGTTTTGTTGCGTTCACTTTGCTCAAGTCCCGTGAAATCGTTCAAATTTAGCAGTACAGTCAAGTCCTCTGGTCGTGGCCGCAATGGGTCCGGCCGCTTAATCATATCCGAAAATTTTGAAAAGGAAATAGTGAAAGAATGCCAGTATGTTGTCCAGTGCCCAGTAGATGCCAGCCAGCAGCAGCTCCACCACGTGGATCAAGCCCAGGAGAAGAGCCGCGACCCCGTGGTAACACAGATGAAATGAGCCGTAGACCACGCTAAAGAGAAACTCGATCACGTAAAGCAGGTAGGACATGTCTCACTGCTGTTTGAAATTTCTGGAGGAAAAAATAACATGCGAGAGGGCCGCCCCCCACTCTGCCATGCATCACATCCCATAAATCTGACGTGAATATCAGTCGTGAATCTCTTCAAGGGCGTGGGGTGTCCATTGCAGCGCGCGAGAATGTCTTGCGGGCACCAAAACGGCCGGCTATACCTGCAGGTTAGTGCGTCGTTGCGTGACAATGTCCACCGTGAAATATTGTCACGTGTCAACGATCACGTTTCTAGTTCACCTTGCTGTGGTGAGGTTGCTGTTGTTTTTTTTTTTGTTGTTGTTTATTTACCTTCCCCCACTAAGTCAACTATTATTTGAAAAGACACACGTGTAATTCCTACTCATTTGAATTCTGTGTGTTCATTGCACGGCTGTTGCTGTTGTTGTTGTTGTTGTTTTAAGTCACTTTGATTTGATCTCAGTCTATTAAACACCCCCAAGAGTTCACGGGACAGGGTTCTTATAACCCGAAGGTTTTTGTGACACAATTGCTTTATTAAGTCCAAGGCGTCGCGACACTGTCGTTTAGTGTGTCCAAGAGCTCACGACACCGTCGTTTAGTGTGTCCAAGAGCTCACAACACCGTCGTTTAGTGCGTCCAAGAGCTCACGACACCGTCGTTTAGTGTGTCCAAGAGCTGACGACACCGTCGTTTAGTGTGTCCAAAAGCTCACGACACCGTTGTTTAGTGTGTCCAAGAGCTCAAGACACAGTCGTTTAGTGTTTCCAAGAGCTCAAGACACAGTCGTTTAGTGTGTCCAAGAGCTCACGACACCGTCGTTTAGTGCGTCCAAGAGCTCACGACACCGTCGTTTAGTGTGTTCAAGAGCTCACGACACAGTCGTTTAGTGTTTCCAAGAGCTCACGACACAGTCGTTTAGTGCGTCCACGAGCTCACGACACAGTTGGTCGATGATTCAAAAACTTCGCGACACTGTTGTTTCGCGAGCCCAAAAATACTTCACAACAAAGTCGTTTTGCGATTTCAAAACTTGATGACTCAGTTGGTTAGTGGATCAGAAACGTCGTAACGCAGTTGTTGTTAATGTTGTTGTTGTTCCTGTTTTAGCTCCTCTTCCAAGAACTCTTCACTTGTTCTGCAAAGTAAAAAAAAAAAACACAAAAAAAAAAACGACAAACTACTTCGATGGACTCACAAGATAATTAATTGGATCAGAAACGTCGTAACGCAGTTGTTGTTAATGTTGTTGTTGTTCCTGTTTTAGCTCCTCTTCCAAGAACTCTTCACTTGTTCTGCAAAGTAAAAAAAAAAAAACACAAAAAAAAAAACGACAAACTACTTCGATGGACTCACAAGATAATTAAGCGTCACATAAAAAAATACAGAGTGCCTTTTTTTGTGTGTTAAAACAACGAATACTCCCTTCCCTTACCAGCACTTGCACATCACTTGCACAGAACTTGAAATGCAGTTGAAAAGCACTCCAACAGCACTTGGCGTGAAGTATTTAATTATACTGCTCACGTCATGGTTAGGGATAGTAACGGTGAAGATTATTTTTTAGATAGCCGAGATTTTTTTTTTTTAGATAACAGACGTTGCCTTAAATAGGCTCTTCATATTACTTGACTTGTTATTTTTTTTTTGGTTATTTTTTTTGTGTAATATCTTTTTTTTAATCTTTGAAGAGCAGGCACGTGCATAAAATGATAATAATAAATGAAATACAAACTCGATGTTGAACAAGGCGCTTAAACGCACACAGGAAGCAACTGGCAAAGTTGATATTACTTATTATTTATTTTTTTACAAGTCGAATGCGTTCGGCACAGCTGTTAATAAATAGCTTACACATTTAAACATAGTAATGTATTCATGGATTGTGGTTTTGGGCTCTTTGCAATTTGATTTCACGTAAAGAATATCTATTCATCCACTAAATATACATTCTTCCTACAAACGTCCATTCATCCACAAGCATCCACTAATCCACCAAACAGCCATTCATTAAAAAACCATCCATTCATTCACCATACATCATTCATCCACTATACACCTATTCATGTACCATATCCACCAAACATCTATTCATCTACGATACATCCACCAAACATCAATACATCCACCAAACATCAATACATCCACCAAACATCCATTCATCCATCAAACATCCACCAATCATCCATACATCCACCAAACATCTATTCATCCATCAAACATCCATCAAACAACCATTCATCCACCAAACACCCACTGAACATCAATTCATCCACCATACATCATTTATCCATCATGCATCATTCATCCACCATACATCCTTCATCCACTAAACATCCACTCATCCACCAAAAATCCATTCCGCCATCAAACATCCATTCATACACCATACATCCATCAAACATCAATCAAACATCCATTTCATCCACCAAACACCCACCAAACATCCATTCATCAGCCATACATCATTTATCCACCAAACATCAATTTATTAACCAAGCATCCATTCATCCACCATACATCATTCATCCACAAAACATCAATCCACCCCTATACACCCACCAAACATCCATCAAATATCCATTCACCCACCATACATCATTCATCCACCTACAATCCCTTTATCCACCAAACATCCATTGATCCACCAAACGCAGCAGACTTAATGACCAAAACATCCCTAGTATTTCATCGCTACTTGTTCAGCTATTGTTGGTACCAGTTACTCAGACCATCAATTTCCGACCCCATGTTGTCATTTCTCTACTATCCAACAATTACTTATCCCATGTAGTCATTTCTTATCTTTCCAAAAATTACGCTTCCAATGTGGTCATTTCAGTTTTTAGTCAAAGAATTACTTATCCCATCTAATCATTTTTTTTCCTAGCCTAACAATTACTTATCCCATTCAGTCATTTCTTTTGTAGCCGAACAATTACTTACCACATGCAGTTATTTCTTTTTTTTTAGCTCAACAATTACTTACCACATGTAGTCATTTCTTTGCCACTCCATCAATTAATTATCACACATAGTCATTTCTTTTCTATCCCAACAATTTATTATAATGACATAGTCCTTTCTTTTCTATCCCAACAATTACTTTTCCCATGCAGTCATTTCTTTTCTATCCCAACAATTACTTTTCCCATGCAGTCATTTCTTTTCTATCCCAACAATTACTTTTCCCATGCAGTCATTTCTTTCTATCCTAACAATTACTTTTCCCATGTAGTCATTTCTTTTCTATCCCAACTATTACTTTTCCCATACAGTCATTTCTTTTCTATCCCAACAATTACTTTTCCCATGAAGTCATTTCTTTCTATCCTAACAATTACTTTTCCCATGTAGTCATTTCTTTTCTATCCCAACAATTACTTTTCCAATGTAGTCATTTCTTTTCTATCCCAACAATTACTTTTCCCATGTAGTCATTTCTTTTCTATTCTAACAATTACTTTTCCCATGTAGTCATTTCTTTTCTACCACATCAAATTATCACATATAGTCATATCTTATCTCCCCCAACTCTTGTTTATCCCTTGTCGCCTTGTTTTCACACTCCTCAACAAAGACTTTTCCTCCCTTCATTCCCCATTTGTTCCGGATCTTTTCAGCAGCTGTCGCATATTTTCGTAAGTAGCAGCGTTTTTGTCAAGTCGGTCTAAGCTGATCACCCGAGGATCCAGTACTTCCAACTTCAACAAGATAAGTTTTCCCTAGTCACAATTTCCCCAAAAGGTGGAGAATTTTTTTTTTAAAACTTCTAATTGGCAAGAGTGTAATATCATCCGTGGACTAATTTCCAACTTCCGTTAATCATATTTTATGTCTAATATGGAATTTTAAAAATAGACCTCTGATTTTCATCCGTTATTCTAGCCCGTTTTCATTATTCTCCATAATGTAGGTCAAAGAACAGTAAAGTCTCCCAAGGTAACGACATTTCTTCCTTGTTTTGGTTTTTTTTTTTTTTTTGTTGGTGTTCTTTTTTACCTTTTCGTATCTTCAATACTGCTGATGAACTTTTTCCCAAGGATATTACGAGGGACGCTGCTCCATGCCCGCATTGTTTAAAGATAACATCCTGTTGTACATCGACCGGTGATTTCCTTTCACATATGTATACGTAAAAACCATGTGTGCTCCCTGTCCAATGGAATGTAGATGCAGTAAACAATCTTTTACTTTCACCTGCGCACCTTCAAAAAGAGCACAGATTTT